TTACCCAGTTAAAGAGCTCATAGTAAAAGTCTTCAGTTGTATTTAAGCTCTTAGAAGGTTCCTTTCTCTAGCTAGGCTTTTGAATGTCAACGTGAAAATAAACATGGCATTTGCTTTCAGCTCATTTCACTTTCTGGTTCTAATACTCTAACGAGACACTGTAAACATATGTCAACCACAGTGCAGGATTTTATTTCATAAAGATCATTCAGCAATATTTGAGTAGAACTTTTATTATGTATATTTGACTTTTTCATAGCCATCTTAACTACCTGATACTTCCATGTAACCTCATGGTTTCTTTCATTCTGTCAAATCAATTAAGTGGCCAGAAAATCAATATAAATTCCCCAAAACGCAGAATTATGCACTACATGATGCAAGTCTGGCATCTTCATTAGCTAAATCACACATTAATAAGAGTAATGTGACACATCTAAAACCAGCTAGCTTATGGAATAGTATAAAAAATAGAATAATTTCATTTAGATGGGCTTTTTCAGGCTTATTTCAATCAATTCTTTAAAAAAAGGTAACTTTGTAAGTGCTTAACATAACTACGGCAAACAAACAAACAAACAAGTGTCCAAGGTGTGAGGGGGACAATAAACTGCACGGCTACTGGCATCTAACAGTAATCCAATACACGAGTGGATCAAAATGTAATACCTACTTCAACATGACGTTACCCAGTTCAGCCTACAGCTCACACACTGGTGTGGTTGGCAAGGTCCTCACAAAGTACACTAGCCTCCACACTGTCTTTTAAAAGCTCCTTGAATCAACTTTAAATACTGCTAGAATATATTTACCCTATATTTCAAAACAGAGTTAAAAAGTAAAACAAACAAACAAACAGCTTAAGGGGACATCTTAAAGCACCTGGAATAAGTTAGAGAATCTTAAACCCAACATTAAGCCTAGATTAACTGGCTGAGCATGAGTATAAAAACAAAATCCTGTTACTGTGAGGAAGCATCACCGCACAACCCCCTGCTTACAGAAGAATAACTAAAAAAGAGACAGGTTTAACTAATATTTTCCACCAGTAGTTTCAATCTAACTTTGCACAGAAAGTAAATTCCACTTCTGTGTGGGCCTTTTTTACTACTGGTATTGTGATACTACCAACTCCAGCCTGAAAGATTCAGTTCCTTCTGGCTTTGTGTCTCAGACTCATTAAAAATCAAACCTTTTTTTTCCACAGGTAGTTTTTTGTTATTTTTCTCCCTCAATAAACCAGTATAAAACATTGGAAAGAGTTGGACTCGATGACCCTCATGGGTCCCTTCCAACTTGAGATATTCTATGATTCTAAAACAAATACCAATTTCAGCTCCAACAGAACAACTTCTGTGATGTACTCCCCAATTTTTATACCCAATTGCAGACTCCAGATAACAAAACCCAAACGTGTAAGGTGTCTGTACGCCAGGCACATCTGCTTTTTTTCTCTTTGAAATCTGAAAGAAGGAGATGGCGTACAGAATAAGGGACTTTACAAATCATGGCGGTTATTTCTCTCAAAAAGTGAGCGGGAAAATAAGAAGTAATTTAGATGACTGATCTTTGGTGTTGGACATACCTCGTTTCTCACTGTTTTCCACCTCTCCACAGCCCTAACACTTTGCTTATTTTCTTACAATGAACATTCTTAAAACGATCAAGAAATAGCAACTCTAGTAACATTCATCAAAATTCTTCTGAGCACTAATAAAGGAAAGAAAGTGAAAAATAAACAATTCCGTGATTTGTGTTATGAAGAAAGCTCTATGATTCTCCTACTCAAATAGAATGAAAGAGAAGTTGGCAATGTATTAACTGGACTCAAGTAAGGATTACGGTCAAAACCCAAATTTATCATTAACTATGCTGGCACAACACACGGGAACATACTGAGTAAGGTTGCTAGTGACACAAAGTTGGCAGAGATCACGAGAGGTCTAAAATTAAATAGAGCCACATTAAAACTACATGGTGAAGCCACGTATTTCAAGATTAGCATCAAGAACTTTAGATATGAGTTCATCAATTAGAAATTACAGGAGAGAAGAAGCTGAATGGTTTGCTTAACCACAAGAAAACAATGTGAGGCAGCCAAAGAAGGCATCAGGAGAAGCATCAAGCAAAAATAAAGAAGTATTATGTCATTTTCAAGACACTCAGAGATCGCATGGGGCTGTTTATGTTAAGAGATACCTGCACCATTTCAGTTTGAACATAGCAGCTACTAGAATGCTCCAGGGAATAAAAGCATGTTGGGAGTAGGAAACAAAAGCAGCTTTTCTTAGCCTAGCAGATCAAAAGGTTGGAGATGAACACCACCTATAAATACAGAACAGTGAATAAAAACTATAAAAGGAAAAAAAACTATTAAGGTGAAGCACAGTGTCAGCACAGCAACAAACGCACATAGAAATGCCATGAATTAGAATTATGCCATAAATTCAGATGTCAGTATACTGCTCCAAAACATCAAACAGTGAAGTTCCACCCTAGTTCACTGAACAGAACAGCAAACACACTTTTATTTTAAAGATCAAAAACTTACTAGGGGATTAAATGAAATTATGCCTTTAATAACAAGGGATGAGACTAGGTATCGCAGGAAGC